AATCGGTATTGCTAAAAATTTAGAAAGGAGGATCCCTAAAATAAAAAAAATAGACGAAATTCCTTTACAACGTTGCTTGATATTATAATAAACAATCCCGGTGTCACATTCACCCATCTACGAAGGGTGCAAAGGGCATCTTGTCCGATAGCTAACAGTTGTTTGATGAACAACCACACAGAAATATATATATATACAAAAAAATGTTAATAAATAATTCAAGTACATGTAATTACAATCAAAATTTAGGGGAAATGATTGGCCTCAAACAAGCTTCACATTATATAAATTTATGTAAAAACGGGCTTCTCGAATTCACTCTTGCTTAAAGCCTCGCTTAATCTAAAATTTCGATATTGATTTTTCATAAAATTATTTATCATCATCAGCTACTCTTTGTCGAATAACGTTTCTTTAGTCACGCACGTTCCTGAATTTTAGTTTTAGTCATTATATAAGTGTAGTTTTAATTCTAAAACTACATTGATAACTAAAATTTAGTTTTAGTCATTAACGTATTTAGTTTTATTTGTAAAATAAATAAATAAATTATATATTAAAGTACAGTGTATCGCTTTAAACTGTAATAAAACAAATTAATATGAATTATTAAAGAACTGTTAATTGAAGATATGTAATCCTTATTCAAATTTAAGGGTTTTAATATAAATTAATTCTTTATAAATTGAAATATGACGAGACTAATATTCATTTTTTCCCTGTAATTTCTTTTCAATAAGTATATTTATCACTTAACTAAATATAATTTTGAGGCTTCTGCATAAATAGGTAAAGACGGATTCTTGCTGTTCTCTTTATGTTGTACTTCATTACATAACATCGATTAAACTTGCGAGTTTTAAATGAGGCTGATTTTTATTTATTTACTTGCAAAGGTTTCTAAAATATAATGCATAAATAAGACAAGATACAACTTCTTCGTTTGCTGAATAAGTCATAGTACAGTTTATTATTTAGATTATACTCTTATTTTGTTATTTATTTATTAATATTTTACATTTTCTTTTTGTCAAGAATAAAACACTATCACAAAGTACTGTAAATATTTATTTAACGATAAATTTGGCATGTCTCTTACACTCGAGTGTTGCTGTAGAACAATTGTATTTAGAGGCTATGTATATTTTTCTATATCACAAAAGAGCAATTAGTAAATGATTTTATTTTATTTACTAAACATATAAAAATTTGCATAAATATTTACTACTGTAGTCGTATATGTCTTTATGATGATATATAATTTTTATTAAAATATACAGAATATTTTTATGTTAAACTTTTGTTAATTTTATATATTGTTTTGTATAAAATTAAATTGTAAATCGAAAGTTAACAATAAAATAAATTTGCGCTTTGTATTAATTAAAGTTACAGAGTTTAAGAAGCCTAAATAGTTTTTCTTGGATTATCATGAACAATTGTATACAACAAACAAAAAAATTATCATTATTAATTAAAATAAAAATCAGTAGAATTAATTAAAATTTTAATATAAAAATAGCGGCGTGGTTTTTTTTTCTTATAATAAATAGAAATAAAAAGACTGAGCTTCACCTATAATAACTTTATGAAACCATCTTCTCTCCATTTAATACACTCGCAGTCTTAATATTCGCTATTCACATCTAGGGCGATCGAGAGGGTCATTTTATTCTATTCAACAAAGGATGAAAGAGGGGGAAGGAGAGAGCCTTGGTAAAGTTTAGCCTATAGGCCAGGATGATAGTTAATCCACTACTGTCGTCCATTACGAAAAGAGAAACCGGATCAACTCAACCAAACACAAAACATTTTGTAACAAAGTTTTACAATGAAAAATACGCTGGAAAACAAGAAGGTTGTGTTGCGGACATTCACATACTTTAGTTATCTGCAGTAAAATTTCAAGCCTTGTTAAATAAGTGAGAGGTAAGCGCTCTACCTATAAACGACTACAGCTAACAACCCTCTTATAGGCCGAATTAACTCGATATATGACGATTCCTCGAAAGTGAAGTCCTCGTTTTATATTATCCACAGCAACAAATATAAGAACAATTGTATCCTTTATCATTCAAGAGTTAGTTTCCATCTTCGGTATACAGTACTAATCTTGACTTGAGCGACGTATGCCTCACCCGGTATAAGGACGAATGAAATGAATAATAAAAATATTATATATAAGTTTTCGAATAATATTATTTTTATGATTATTTATTTGTTAATAAGTTTTATATCTTTTTAATTCATACATAATAGACCCTCTCTTTAGAATCGCACTCTTTTGAGACTAATACACTTATCTATTATGACTATATGAATGTATTTAATTATACATTTTTAATGCTAAATCCTGTACAAATTTAACTCTTATTTACACGTAATCTCAATCGATAATGTGTGAATGCTAGCTCATTTTACGAAAGATTTTTCAGAAATTAATTTGACGTAAAATCGAGAGATTTGTGTGTATTTTATTCATTTAATGAATAAAATACACATAAATCCTCGCTTTTAAGTCCCCAAGAAAATCTTCTAACCTTAAATTTGTTTAAAATATTATTATTTTACTTCAAATGATTAATTTTAACTTTCTTATATTGTTTATATAAATGACACTTTTTAAAGTCTAAATTAATATAAATTTAGTATTATTATAATACTAAATTATATTATAATAATGAAAATTAAAAAAGAAAATAAATTTTTAATTGACTTATTAAAAGTCTATAAACAAAATTTTTTTTTAAAATAAGACAATGGGAATTATACATAAGGAATATGAATGGGATCTAACAGATGCTAATATTGACATTTTTATCTAAAAATAAAAATCGAATTATTAAATAAAATGTTTTGATTTAAAAAATTTATATATATATATAAAACAATTGATAATAATTAACATTATAAATCATATATAATTCGTGATGTGATTGCTTTCAATATATCTGGATTAACTGACTTTTAGGCCATTAATATGGTTAATATCATATCATATTGCACTTTCTATTTTAAATTTTAATGCCCTATTTATGAATAATAATTGTATATTATTTTAAAGATAATTTCTTTTAATTTAAAATTTATTAATGGAAAAAGATTACGAAACGTTAATTAAAACGTATTAATGATTATTAATTAACCAGAAAATAAGATTAATGCTTATTAGCTAATAAACATTAATCTAGTTACTATTTTGCAGATTTCAGGTTAATTAATGAGCATTAATTAGCCTACACGATATTAAAAATGTGTTTAACTATGACAAGCCATATTTATAATAAAAGATAATTTAATACATATAAACTTTAATTTATATGAAACTAAAGAAAGACTTTAATATATTAATAGTCTTGATTTTACCAATAAAATGGACGAATCTATTTTATTGTACTAATATTTTTACTAATATCAATAGTTTCTTGACTTATGCATATAATTTGAANGGAAGAACAAAAAGTATGAAATTCGATGATGTTATGTCAATGGAAAAGACAGTAGCATTCTGTTATTTAGGATTATTGCTAACTGAAGATTGTATTCTCATAAGTGATATTATAAGGTAAGCTAGTGTTCATTTTAAAATGTATCTATAAAAAGAACAATGTTAATTTTTAAAAATTTTACAAGTAATTAAACCAATTGTATTGCATTATAAAGCCCAATCAATCACCAAATAAATAGAAAAGACAAATCGACCCATTACTATTGACAGTTCTGTTAATAATGAAATCCTCTGAGGATTTTTGATATATAAATCTATCAGTTGAGAAACAGTAAACAATATGAAACTTATCGTTAGCCAAATACACTATCATAATTAATCCGATAAAAATCAATTAGATCCCAAACAATGACGTCCAGTACATTACATCGATCCTAGAAATATAAATAATTTTTTTTTTTTAACTAAAAATTTTATATGTAAAACTGTATAGCTTTTACACTAATTTACATTAATTAAAGATTCTAGAAATGGAATTTGACGTGGTAAATTTATTGATTTTTGGTCAAATACAGTATATATCTATATTAGGTATAGTATATACCTCCAAATAATTACCTCCTAATTATTCTTAATTTTTTTATGTTCTAACATCTCAAGTTTAGTCTGTCTTATCAATAACACCCTGTTTATATGAGTATACTTATATATTTATATATGTGCATATAAATAGTGTTATTAAGTGTTAACAGTCTATTAAAAATAAACGGCATTGTAGAGCATATATATATATATAGTTAATGCGTATTGCTTTATAACAACTTGTTTAATTAAATATAGGCTTAAATTAAAAAGCCTTATTGATCGACAATGAAAAAATTTTAATAATAGATGTAATCCCCCATTTCTCCCAGTGGTGTATCCAGGATTTTAAGAATATGGGATGCTACTCAAGACAGAATCAGTGAGGACCAAGGCTCGAGCCCATTGTCGTTTTTGGAGAATGTTACTCAATTACTTTAATTACTTTTATTACCTTATCTCACCTAATTGAAGTTATGCGATTTATATTATATTTATTTTAAAGTAAGAAAATTGATTGCTTTGGTATTAAGGGGGTGTTGTAGCACCATAAGCATTCCTGTAGATACACCTCCAATCTCTCCTGTGGGTAGCAATGCTCATAGTTTATTATTAAGAAGTATTTTCTTTTACTTTTCTAATTTTATATAACAATATTTAAAAGTATTATGAAAATATATAAATTATAATTATGATATAAAAATTAATTTACATTTAAAAATTATTTATAAAATAAATAATAATTTGATAACGAAGGATTTTTTTTTAAACTTTTAATAATCGAATATAAAATCTACATTGTGAAGAATAAAACGATAAAATCAATATTAAAAATTATATAAGCTATACATTTATATAGTTTTATTAATATACTCTCGTATAGATTATAAGGGAAGGAAAAGTCATTTCAAGTCTATTTATTACTAACAAATACAAATATGTCACGCGCATTGAGTGGTTAATATTTTAAAAGACTCCACAGGTGAGGCTAGTATTTTATTGATTGAAGTAGAGCTGTTGGCAACTGCCAGTTGTCTCTCAATAACAAACCTTCATAGACAACAATCAAGCTTGTACATGCAAGCCTAACACAAAGTCGAACAATGAAAATAAGGCAAGATTCTTAAATTATTTATAAAATTTAAGAAAATATATCCATGAATCTTAATAACTTTAATTTGCTATGGATTTTAGATTAAAGCTGTCAATCTTTCTATTGACTTTTGGGATTTTGTCGAGTAATGCCCAGGATAAAGAAGGGCCAGATAGACGCATTAAAATAGGTAAGACTCTTAATTTAATAGTAAATATCTTTTCTATTTTGGCATATATTATGAAACTTTAATATATATATATTAACGGTATTCAAACTGTAGCTATTTTACACGTATCTAACCATGGTTTTATGAAGCACTTTAAAGACTAAACACTTATTAATTTCTAAATAAAATATAGAATCTAATGTGAAAACTTAAATCTTATGGATATAATTTGCTTTTATGGAACTCTATAGTGTAATTTAAATTGTTTCTTTTAATCGAAAATTGTAATGGAGAAGAGTACCAAAATGTTTTAAAAAATAATTAATACAAAGTTTATTTGCCTTTTACACACTAAAGAAACCTTTTATTGTTGGTTTAGGGTCCTTTATCCGGTCGGTTGTTCCTATTGAATACTCAATATAGCTCATAATAAGAGACAAAATACTACAAAAATTTCTATAAAATGATTTTTTCATTCGCAAGTTAATACCATTTATCGATTTAATTTAAATGTTTATTTGTTTAAAATGTGATTCATGTATGTTGTTTTCGTATTTAATTATTGTCACTATTGTTACGTAAAATGAGAAAAAGTTTCTTTAACATTTTAAAATGTTAATGCATAAATAAAGTTCAATAAGTAATTAATCTTTTGTATAAGTTGCTAATGATTCTTAAATTAGGTTCAGAGTTGTAGTCCGGGTGAACAGAGACGTCACTAGTCATGAAGCGTGTCGCTCGTTAGCAATCAACATCTGTGACTGGAAAGGGTCCTTCTCTGAAACTAAAACAAAATGATAGATAAGAGACTTAAGTTTAATTCAAAGCAATATACTGTATGGACGATTTGTCGAAGGGGGAATGCTCTGAGATGTCTTTTATGGGAATGTGGCTCCTATTTAGGTATTACTAACGCGAAAAAAATCCGGAAAATTCCACGTGGCTAGATCGTTATACAAGAGACAGGTTGCTGCATTGTTTTATCTTTTCTCGAAAGGTCTTTAAATAAAGACGAAGAGACTAGTTCTGATGATGATTTGGTTTTTAACCAGGGCTGTGGAGTCGCGTAAAAATCTACCGACTCCGACTAAGGGCGGACTTGTTACCGAAATAAACCCGAAAATTCTGATATCATCACGTGAAAATAGAGTTCTAATAAAGATAGAGCGTAGAAACTTTTTATTCCAAAGCTAAAAGACTTCTGTAAGTAATATATAAATATGTATTCGATAATTTTTACTTTTCCGGCTGTTATAGGCCTATATAACAGGAAAAGTGTAGCGCTCGCTCAAAAAATGACCCCTCCCAAATGTTTACATTTTTGGACTCGGGACACCTTGAAATCTCGAGATATGCAAAAGATTCGAGGTTTTTTTCTATATGTGTGGATGTTAGACTGTGTGGGAGGACATGATTTTGTTCACCCTGTTTGAAGCCTAATAATTTCTGTGGTCAGAATCGGAGTCAGATGGTTTAACACAGGAGTTAGTTATTAAGCGTTAAAGTGGTTGAACTAAATCGTGTCCCCATATACATTCTAACATCTTAGGCGAGAACATCTTAATGGGTTTTACTGTACTATTGTAAAATGGCTAAAAAGCTTACTTTGAGGGTAGAGACGAATTTTATTTTATTTTTTTTTTTTTTAATTTTGAATGCTAATAACGAGTAAAATATTCATTAAGAGATATGACACATGACCACTTTTAGGTCTTCACCCTGTCAACCTTTAATTAAGAACCAAAATTTAATAGTATTAATGCCCCTTTATACGCAAGCCACAGTGCCACATTTCCTTTCTTAAACTTTACCCATTCTGAGATATTGTTTAATATCTCAGAACAGAAAATAAGGAAATTAAACAAATTAGACGTTAACACACATGCGTGTGCGAATTTTTCCCCTTTACTGACTTTTTTGAGGGGTTCGGGAGGTCTCCAAACGTGTAAATTTGCAAAAAAAAAAAACTTGGGTGAAATTTGACACGATTCCAATACTTTTTCGTTTTATATACATAAGTAAAAAGGAGTCGGAGTCGTAAAAAAATCCGCCGACTCCGACTCCACAGCCCTGTTTTTAACAGTATACTTTTCTCACCTCAGCACAAAGTGTTTTATTCAGGGACAGCGCTTGGTTTGATCACGCTATAGAGCTTTTATTATTATTATTATTTGCCTCGTGCATCTGTAAAATATGGTGTCATAATTAGTCAAGACTATTGCATGTTATAGGACATTCTGAGAATGTGAAAATAGTAACATCATTCATCTTGATCACGCGGAAATTTGTCACGTGACAGGTGAAGACTCCCTTGCACGAGAGACCGGTCCACACTGGCTAGAATGAATCACGACCAATTCCTTCTCTGAATGCTGTGTGACGTCTCAAGCTTGAACCATAAACAGGATGAACCATGCCTCGAGTCACTCGTTCGAACCGGTGTTCAATTCTGAACGTAGCTTTAGAAATTGTAATTTAAAGGTTAACAGTATAACGTTATACAATTTTATACAACATAACAATATACAGCATATTAATTACTTGTAGAATGAGAATTGCTATCTAAACTATAAGTGAAAAAGATCTAAATACTGTATATGTATTTTAAAAGAAGCAGTTTATTGCTTTTTCTTAATGCTTCAATGTAGAAAAATTATTAGATGTATAATACGCGTGTTATAAATATTATTAATATAAAAATTGCATAAATAGGAAATATTTATATATTTTATAATAAAAGAAAATGTTGTAGAAAGGTTTGTATATTAGAAATATTCATGCTCTTTAAATTTTGACGGTTTAATTAAGGTCGACGGGATGAGGAGATAAAGTGTGGTCGAGTAGGGTCGGATTTAATGACGATTTTACTCGTTATTAGCATTTATAATTTTTTATAAAACCCACTTCTACTCTCAAGATTAAGCTTTTTTTGTCATTTTGTAATAATTAAAAACGTAAACAGTTTTTTAAATGAAATATCGTAACAGATAGAGCCATTAGAATGTTAAATGTTGCCGGAAAGTTAAGCGATTCGTTGCTAAATTTTTTACATTTAAATAGACCCACATTACATTTCTGGATTTCTCGTCTCAATTAATTAAAAAAATGGCAAAGTTTTATTAAAATCGATCCATTAAATTTTTAGAACAAACTCAATTCTATAAGCTCATATAAGACGTGCTAGCGACCGTGAAACATCGCAGGACAATTCGTGCGATATCGCTTTATAGCACGCTCTCGTGAAACGACTTTATATCTCGAAAACGAAGTTATGTATTCCCATATTTATTTCATTTATGAATTCCGCATCTCAATTAATAGAAAATGGCAAAGTTTAATCAAAATCTATCGAACGGATTTTGAGAACGAACACAATTCTGTAAGCCTCACAGAAGAAACTTCGCTAACGTTCCTCTTCAATTAAGCACATAATAACATTTAAATAATTATTATATAAGAAAAAAATTTTCTTCTTAAAAACTTCAGTTGTAATGAGTGATATTTTAATTCTCCGTAAACGTTACACTGAGTGGTCAATTTTTATTTATTTATTTTTTGCACTTTGAGTGAATATAGCCTATAATTCATTAGTTTTAATTTTATATGCATATAATCAATTTTATAATGAAAGCGGAGTTTGAAAATAATATCATTTGACAAGAATAATATGTTCGGGATTACCATTGAATTTACGTTAATAAATCCAACGTAAACCTATTTCTGTCAGGAAAATGTGTGTATCTTCATACAGATGCTTTATCAGCCACAATTTATATGCACATACACTTATTTATATACATTTTATATAGCAAATGATAAATACTACACAAAGTTATTATACAACATATTATAAAAATAGTAAAACTTGTTTTTATATATGTACTTTGATTTTTTTTTATATAAAAATAATAAATAAATAAATACAAACAAATGAAAGAATCAAAGTAAATCTTTATGTGGAATCAAAAATGAATCGAATTTTTGGCACAACGTCTAAATTCGGTCCCATAGCTCGTGATGAAAACAGGAAATACAGGTGATGGTTACGCATAAACATAGCTTAATTTATAAGAAACCGACACTTCCGTTTTTCAATTCAAAAATTTACTCGTTAGATAGATAAACCCAGCATGACTCTATTGTTACAGGAGCAAGACACTACTAAAATCGAGAGCATATATTTTAAATTAAATTAAAAATATGATTAAAAATAAAGCCTTGACGATGTCATAATAATTTTGTCGATTTCAAATTTACATTCCAACTGTCGTCCTTCTGGTTGTCTGTCCGTTCTTCCTTAATCTCGAGAACAGAGTTAGATAGATAAAAATCGAGAGCAGATATGGAAAGCTTAGGGGCTGCCACTTAATGTAAGGCTGATAAATAGATTGGAATTGGACGTTGTGCCAAAAAAAGGAAGAAAAAAAAATGTGAAGGTAAACCTCACAAGTGTGTTGTGACAATGTCACAATAATGATTGTTAGTTTTCGGTCTGGTGTGAACTAAATTGATTTATTAGGAACTTCTTTCCTTAAATCTTTCTATCCTGTGAATACTAGCAAGATTGCGGCCGAAGTTTTCAACGCAAAAACGTGTAAGTCGGACGTTCAGCTTCGTTTTCCTAGAAGTTTGACAATGGCGTTTGGAACGTCGAGCATGATTCCACTGACGTTCCAAACGCCGTTGTCAAAGTTCTACGCTTACAGGAAAGCGGCGCTGAACGTCCGACGTATCTCTTTTGTTTTCCTAACCTATGATGGATTTGGCCAAGCTCACATTAGGAAGATCACGTAATGAGGAAGCATTTCAGATATATTCTGATAGTCTGACGCCTTAATTTTAGATCAATTAATGTCTGGCAATAAACTTTAAATTAAATAATTTTAAAACAATTAAGAAATAAATTTTTTAAAAATATTTACTAAAATATCTTTTTCCTCGAGATAAAAAAAAAAGTAGCCACAGTTTTATTTTGAATCATAACAGGCTGATTCGTGAAGTATCTTAATTTATTACTTCTT